AGCAGTAGCAGCTTCTTTTTAGAGAATGAGCCTCATGCTAGTCCCGTGTCCATATCCATTTCATGACAAATGAAATACCAAAGGCCCTGGCCAGAAACAATGGCTTGTTTGGCTGGCTGGAGGCGGTATGGGAGGTGGTGGTGGTGGTGAAGGGGGTGGGAGAGGGGGCTAAGACTGGCTTCCAGCCCCTGCAGCTGTCCCGGTTGTCACTCCTTGTCTTAAGGCTCACTCCTGGCTCAGATGCACATATGTGTGTGTATGTGCGGTCCTGAGCCTCGAGAGATAGGCGACGCTCAGTACTCGGCAGCATCTGAAAAACGGCCCCAGACACAAAAGGCAAGTTGAACAGTGTTAAGACCCCTTCGGTATGGAAGCAGACCCCAGGCATGAGGTCATCATCCTTGGTTTAGCAGCCTTTGTCCTGCAGCCTGATTGACATGTGGCTTGGTTATCAAAGACAGTTGTGGGATCGGTTACAGCCGATGGGTGTCCCTCAAGATGCGAGAGTTCTCCTATAAAAATACTCGTGATAATTCAGCCGGTGGAACCTGGAAATACAGGTATTTCCACAACAACGTATAATCTGAATGGACTAAAAACTGATCTGTGGCTGATGTTGATGACATACCAATGCACAGCTTCATCGCTAAGTAATGGTTTTGCACCTCCTCTATGTTGGCCTCACCTTAATGTCAATCATAAAGTCTGCGAATCTTTTAATCTGTGCTGATAACAGGTGATAAACTTTAATATGCTGCTAATATTCTACGAGTAAGCCTGTACGTGCGTGTGTGTGTGTGTGTATGTGTGTGTGTGTGGTTACAATAGAGAGAGGCAAAGCTCTTCCTGCCTCTCTCTCTCTCTCTCGCTCTCTCCCCCTTATGTCTCAGAGATTAGCCTTTGCTCAAACACCTCCTGTTCATCTAAGTAATTAAAACATTAGAATTACTGGATTATAAACTGCTTTCCATTTAATCCAGCACTCGATGCTCCCACCCTCTTGCCAAATGGGTCAATAGGAAATATAATGGGCCTCTGTGATTTCTGATTCAGGGATCTGGAAGTGGCAAAGGATGCCAATAATGGCTATTAAAAGAGATGTGTGTTTGTGTGTGAGAGAAAGCCAGAGACAGAGAGCCCCAGACCGGCTTTGCCCTGAGTGCCATCTGTCTTGGACCCACTAGACCCAGTTTAGACTGGAAGAAGCCAAACCAGTTCAGTCTCTATCGCTGCCCCTGATGCACAGTTATGCCATCGCACACACATACACACGCACACGTACACATACAAATGTGCACCTTTTGTGACCACATCCTCTGTTAAAGTTAATCCAACGTGAGCTTTGATTTTTAGGAGGATACACAAAAGACTGTTCTTTGATCTTTTGAGAAAGTCGCCATGCACACAGGCTTTAGGTTTTTCAATCAAGACGCGGTGTGTGTGTGTGTGTGTTTGTCTGTGTGTGTGTGTGTGAGAGCCATTTTTATGACCCTATAACAGGTGTTTGCCCTTTGGGCCCTTGGTGCACTGTGAAGGCCTCCTATAAATCACATCAGGATACCCTTTGATACTTTATTTATCCTGCTATTGTCTATCTCCAACACGTTCTCGCATGTGCCCACACCTTTACCTCCATTAAGTTTTTAAGGATGTTTCTCCTTCTTTCTTTTACACCCCCCAGGCCTACCTTTCTTGGCAGCCAAAAGTGAAAGTTTGCTGTGGGGAATCACACATCCTGTCTTCTCACCGAGTGTGCAGTCTACATGTTCCTGGCGTGATGTGTTTGTGCCGTCGAATGTCCGTTTTCACACAGTTTCACCCATCACGCGGCCTGTTTTTTTAATGTGTGTGAGCTGTGTTCAGTGCAGCATGTTTCTGCCATGTGCGTGTATGTTTTGCGTGTGTGTTCATTATGGTTTGTGTTTGTGTTTCTCACAACAAGGGCTCCAAGTTGACACTGTGACAGTTCCTCGCAGAGCGACAGAGGGGCCCTGCCATCCAACAACAGAGGCTTTGTCGCTCTGCTCCTCTTGGCTTGTTATGGACTTCCTTCTCTCTCTCTCTCCCTCGCTTTCTCTCGCTTTCTCCCCCTTTTTTACTGAGCCCATTTTCTTGTCTGAAGTCTTAATTTGGGGCGCTGGCCAGTGGGGAGAGGGAAGAGAGGCGAGGGGACCAAGGGAGGGAAGAACTGGTAAGGGGGGGAAGAGCTGCGGAGTGGTGATGGCTGCAGACGGACGGCCCTTTGTTCCTCCTTTCCCAGGCTCCTCTCTTGAGCCTCCGAGGCTCCAGTTGCGTTGGAGGCTTCCAGAGAGAGAGAGAGAGGGAGCGAGAAAGAGAGGAAGAGAGGGGCTGGGAGGAAAAGGGGGCACAATGATCTGTCCAACTGGAATCTTCCATTTGCACAAAACAAATGCACACACACACACATATGCGCAAATGATGTGGAAATGGAAAGAAAGGATGGTGTGAAGAAAAAGAAGAGCAAATGAAGCAAAAGAAAATGAATCAAGCAGGAACAGAACTGTCACAAACAAAAGAGGGGCAGAGATAACATGAGGTTGATAAGAAGAAATCACAAACACAGAGTCCACTCTGCACACACTGACCACTAGGTGTCCCCATCCCTAGTGCCAAATGTGGGCAACCCAGAGTTAATCCCACACTGTGCCAGTGGCTCTGGAGCATAAGTGTTGCTCTATCCACAATAAATGAATCCCAGTGTTTAATTACTGACACATGCAGAATGAATCCATCAATTTGTGCAATATGAAAATCTGTTTTCATGGGTTTCGATTGAAAGTGGAGCCATATTCGTGTGAGAAGGTTAATTCTCAGTGCAATCATGGAATACATGCACTGTTAAGCAAATAAAAGGAGATGCACAGATACAGGAGGATTGCCATCCTCTGTAAACAGAAGTCTCTTTGTGTTTTTGATGGTAAGAACTTCAATAGCTTTCTGCAGTTTTTATTTTCAAGCCCACAGTCATTTTGCAGGAGTAGGTGTCAAAGTGGTTCAAACGGTGGTAGGAGGATCGCACAGAGAAGAAATCGAAACGAGGTCCTTGTTTTTCTTCGTCACAAAGGTTCCTCGGCATGGGGAGTTACATCAGTGCAAGTGTGTGGTGATGTTTACCAAAAAAAATACAAATAAATTCTGTTTGTTGCTGGGTTGGCGTGCTGTAAATACCTCACAAAACCTCACATTAAACCCACTTTTTATTCTAATGTAAAAACAATTTCACCTTTAAAAAAAAACAGATGCTTAACGCTTAATGGAAAATGTTCTTGAACCTGAGCGTGTGACAACAGGCAACAGCGACGGGAGGAGGGACTCCGAGAGGGACCTTGGGGACTGTGTCAACGTTTTCTGTGCTGAAGCAGGGACAAACATTGGGCAAACATTGGGAAAGGCTGGCAGCCTTTGAGATAGTGGGCCGTTGATCTAAGACTGAGAAGCTAAAGTCCACTATCTCCTGTCTGATACAGCAGCCAAGGTCCTGCTGACACACAGAGCCACAGAACAAACATTGATATACCTGAAGACAATGATCTTTGAACCCCCAGTGGGAAAGGTGGAAAAAAAACAGGAAGTGGTGAAAGTGACTCCTGCGACTTCCTCCCTGCAGGCCAAGAATGAATCAGGTGGAATGATTGTAAGTACACGGGTCATTGTACATAAAACGCACACACATTGTCGGAGAGTGGGAGGCACAGATGTGGTGCGTGTGAGCCTACATGTATGTGTGTGTGCGAGAGAGAGAGAGAGTGAGTCTTCAGATGTAGCGACAGATGGTATTTGATTACAGAGCAGACGGTCGGTGTTGTACAAAGATGCTGTCTCAGCCCAACCTAAGGAGCTGTAGCCTCCGGTTAAGGCAAGCGGAGGGAGGCAGGCGGAGGACGAGAGGGAAAAGAAACACTTTGGAGAGAGGGAGAAAAAAAAAGAATAAAAGCAAGCAAGCAAGAAAGAAAGACACAAAAGAAGCAACTCCAAAAATGAGCATCAAAAGAAAGAAGAAAGAAAGGCAGTGAGGCAAGAACAAAAGGAAGAAAAGGTACAGAGAAACGGGCAGGCGTGGTGGAAAGTACAACAGAGGTCATGATGAGAAAACAGCAAAATGACGCAGAGACAACACACGGAGCCTTTTGAAGGCAGTCAAGTATTTTTCTTAGAAGACCCCCAAACTCATAAGACTGTAACGCCATCACAAAGAAAATTTTAAAAAGGTGTAAAAAAAAAAGTCAAGAGGATCTTTATCGTAACTGTGATCCACTTTGGCTCAAATTTGGTAGATCATAAAATTAATTGAGTTTGAAGAACGGCACATAAAAACACACATGTACAGGATCAATAGCTTTAACAAGTGCTGCTGCAATAATAATATGAAGCTGTTTCAATTAAGCACGAAAACAACCAGTCTGTTGTTCAGTTGTTTCTAGGAATAGAAATAACAGTTTTAAAGTTTAACCTTTAACTTTAAATTGTTGGAGTTTGTTTCATGTTTTGCAAATGTTATATGTAAAACTACTGGAAAGGATATACAGTATATATATATATCTTTTTTTTTCTTTTCTTGCATTTGACATGTATTACTAGTCACAGTTTTTTTTTTTTTTGCCAGAAAAATAAAAATATAAAAATTACTTTTATAATTATCTGTAATGAAAGTAGTCATAAGGTACGCTTGACTTGAGATATTTGACAAGTGCACCATTATTGTGTGATGTGATGACTTTATTATGTGAGTGTTCATCTCTTCTGTAACTGTTGCTTTCAGTCTTACTAGGTGCTATCATTGGTGGTCTGTAGAGAAAACTACGCTGGGAAGTTGTTGCTCTGCCGTGAACCTCTTCATTAGTGCACTCAGTCACTCAGAGAGCAGAGAGGCACTGATTCATACACACAGCACAAAGTGACTATACAGCCAGGAGATAGCATGAGCGGAGAAATGTGCATGCGTATTTTGTAAGAGATGTTAAATAAACCATAGGCAGACATTTTTGTAACTCTCATTTTCATTTTTATTTCCAATTTTTATTCATTTTGCACAAGCTTGCATATATACTGCACATACATTCAGTTCATAGAGGGTGAAGGCACGAAAGGCAATTTGACTACTGGTTGTTTTTTGGCTGGGCCTAAACAATACTGGGGGAAAAATCTCGAGAGAAAATACAAAAATGCTTCAAACTAGTTTCAACTTTCTAGCCCACCCTCGGCCCTGTCCTGGAATAAAACATAACAACGCTTATTTGAAAGAAAAAAAAAAAAGAAAAAATGTCCAGGTCCATTTAGCTGCCATGATTTCCATTTTTGCAATTTCTCAATTGAATGTCATTGTTTGAAGTTCAAATTTCAATAGGTAAGGATTTGAGTCTTTTGAAGTTGGTACTATTTAGTGAAATGCAGTACAGCCTTCCCTGTTTGAAAAAAAAAAAGAAAAAGAAAAACAACATCAAATAAATTAGGATAAATTAAACCAATAAATTACACAAAATCTGCAAGACAAAAAGACACCAATAACAGAAAAAAGCAGCCATGTGATTTTTATTTCACAACCTGTGTGTAACTACCCAGACTGTGTTTAAACCATGGCTGCTCCAGTTGGAATTACTGCACTAGAATTGAATAATAATGTCATACAAAAAGCTTCAACAAAATACTATTTACATGACATATTGCGAAGTTACACAAAGGCAGTATTTATCACTGTAAGTCCACATCATTTATATTTACAGAAAAAAAGAGGAGCAGTGTCATAATAATAATAATCATAAAAAAAAAAGAATTACTAGTGAAAGCATCGAGAAACAAAAACCTCTTTCAAACAGGTCAGAAAACAGATCAGAGGAAATTATCGCCACACACACACACGCACACACACACGCACACACACACGCACACACACACCAAACACATGTTGCCAACGCTTAATGAGAATCATTTACATGTCAGGATGGTACTCCCAGGGGTGGGGGAGGGGCCACAGTGTTGAGAATTGTGTCACTCACTAGTTCACAGGTTCTCATAATCGGTCTTTTCTCTCACACAGACACACACACGCAAACACACGATGCAAAGCCTACAGAAAATTCCATATAAATCCAGACTTTTCCCAACTGTTTGAACCCGGTAAAAAAGGGTATAAATCACTCCTCTCCTCTCTTTTCCACAGCAGTCTCATCTTTTGAAATGTTACTGTACATGTGCCCCCTCTATGACTTTACTCTTCTGATGACAATGAGTTCCTGTCTCTCTCTTTCCCCGGGTCAAATCTAGAGCTTTGCCCGCGCCAGTCTGCCCTTGTTTTTGGATGAGACCTGGTCCACAGACTGCCAATGGGCCACTCTGTGACATCATCATTACCCGACCGCTAGCCTGATGCATCGTTCTGTCAGCAAAAATTAAAGAAACGGATGCTGGTGCAACTTCAAGGGCACTGCCGACGGGAAACAGACCCCCGTTAAAGGCATGGTAGAGAAAAAAAGAAAAAAAAAAAGACAAATTTTTTTTTCCTGGAAGAGTGGTTATGAGTCCAGTTTGGAGTTTTGTTTCCTCCCTTCCTTTTTTAACCACTCTCAGCCCATCGTAGCACTCTGAGTGATAATAGAAAAACTGTACAGCTATTCTTTGTCTCGTCCTGACCGTATTTACAGTAGCAACAACAATATTTCATACTCTTAAAACATACTCCAAGTTTATTTTCTTATCTCAAGAAGACAGCCATTCAGTGTAATAAAAATAAACTAAAATGGAAAAAGTGGTCACAAAACCTGAAAAAAAAAGAAACAACCTACAACTACTCCTCCTAAACTACTAACAAATCACTTGTTCAGAATACAGATTTAAACAAAGCCGCTGCTGAAAATACACTCAAGATTCGTGTTATGAAACATTTTCTACCAGTGCCTTCCAAAGTCCTTCCAACGCTGTATATATTTTTTCCATAGATTTATCTTTTACAATTCTTAAAAAAGCCTATATAAGTATCTCAATAATGTTATCCTTAAAATCAGACAACCACAACAAAAAGGAAACCTTGACAAAAATATTTTCAACGTGGTATTAAGGTCTTGCTAATCCATTCCTTTTTTTTGCAAACAAGTCTTCATTATCCTGAATTAATCTTTTTAGGCGCAAGGACTCTTTAACTTTAGGGCGAGGTTGCAGGAAAGGGGGGGTGGGTGTGGGGGTGGTGGGAGAGCAATAATAATCTGTGCACCAGATAAAAGTGTCCTTTCCTTTCTCCTTTGTTTATGGCGCTTTGAGACTCTGAGACTTGTGGGGCCTAGCCCATCCTTCAGTGAGAAATGTGTTCGGCTAACTCTCTCAGGGCAACGGATCTTAAGAAGAAAACTGTTCGGGGCGGAGGAGCTGGGGGACATAATGAAGGGAGTAGCTCTCCGTCTTTCTCTGTCTCCTTTTGTCAGGCGTTTTGTCTCGCTAAGGCAAGTCAGCAGGTTAAGCAACCTGGCCCTTTTGATCTTTTGTGACACTCATACCCACAGATACACACACGCACACACACACACATACACTTACTATAAGCTGATGTCGCCAATAGAAGATCAACAGCTAGTTCGCACGCTCTCTGGAAAGTATTCTGTTCTTCTCATTTACTTGAAATTTGTCGTTAAAAAAGACACTCAAGTCGACTGCATCTTTAAATTCTTAAAGAGCGTTCAGGGCAGACAAGAAAATAGAAATTAAAAAAAATGTAACTAGTGGAAAGATCTCAGGTAAAGAGGTAAAGTATGAGTAATGGGGTAAAACAAACTGGGCACAGTGGTTTTAACAGAATCTTACTGTGGGTCCTAAAAGCTGCCCATTTCAGGTGAAGGGACAGAGCTGAAGGGTTACAGGTGCGTGTTGCTTCTCACTCTGTGCCTTTGTCCCTGCTCTTTGTAGTGCTGAGAACATCTCCATTTACCCCTGAGGTGAGCGCTCACCCCTGACCTCTGCAATAAGAGAGAAGGTAGATCACTCACAGGCAGGTGAGCTCGGAGGAAAGGAACTGGATGTGCGTGCTTGTATGTGTATGAGGATGGATTCTTACTCGCGGCAGAATTAATTAACATTCTCCTCCGTCTTAACCCTCCTTGGGTTATCTCCATCTCTGTGATGCTTCTACTTGTCTGTGTTTAATTTCCTATTGTTTGACACACTGTATTTAGATGGTTACAGTATTTCGATATATTCAAGTATCAGCTGCTATTGAAATAACTTCATGATGTAAATTACACCTTGTAAGGAAAAGCCCACCATACTAACAGGCTAACTTCATCTCACACATGAGCTGTGTGGTAAGCAGTGCTTCAAAAAGACTAAACAAAACTATTGTGTATGCAGTATTATTTCATTGTTGAAGACTGGCTAGTTTAGTTTTTAAAGCTTGAGTGACTGTGTAAGATTAGTGATGTAAAATATCCAGGAAAGCACCTAAAGGCCACACTGCTTTACTACGATCTCTAATTCCTTTACGTCTGCACTGTTTCTGTCAGGGCGAGCTAGCCACTTGAGTTATATAAAGCAGCCCACTATGATGGTCCTCTGTTAAAATCATACGTGTAATCAGTTTTCAGATAAAAGTCTAAATACACAAAATCTAAGTCAAACTCAGACACTGAAAACAAAGAACAAGAGTAAAGAAGGATGGGTAAATGGTGGTGAAATATGTCAGAATCTAAACTCTTGTGGAATAATATTAATAGCAATAATTTATTTTTTTCTGCAACGGCATCAAGGGACAAACAAATCTCGAAGTGCCAATCTTCAGCAAGCAGTGATGACAAATAATAATAACCATAAACAACAATAATAATAATCAAAATAATAATGTACAGCCCATAAACACAATGCCTTACTTGCAGGGAAAAACACACTTCAAAACATGGTAGAGCTCAGTAGCTATTTGAAACCGGTCCAAGTCCCAAGACCAGGAACGTGAGTCCAGCCTAAGTCCAGTCATTAACCTCACTAGGTCTTGTTTTTGTGTGCATGTGTGTGACTGTCCTTGTTAGGGACATCTTCAGTAGCACAGTCCACTGGAAACCCACTTTGCACTTTGCAGGAACTGTTCATTTGGATGCCCAGTGGGTTGGAGGGACATCCGAGAGTGCCATAAGTAAAGTCTTTAGGGAACCCAGCCTATGTTTTTAGTTAGTGTTGATCAAAAAACAGGCCAAACAGATGAGGGTTCATACAGTCCAAAGAGAAAACACCCAATAAAATTAGAGTCTCTTCAATTCAGAATCATAGAAAAACAAAAACAAAAAATAACCATCATGATAATTATCATATAAGAACAACAACACGATAGCTAGGTCATTTAGGAACTGCCACAGAGGCTTTAGATTGGGAATGCTACTTCATAACTTTCATACATTCAAAAATAAAATAAAAAAAAAGAATTAAAAACAGGAAATCCAAAGTAAAATTGGGAAGAAAAAAGAAAAAAAACAAAAGAGAGTATTTTAAAATTCTAAGAAAATCAGGGAAACTTAAAAAAAGCGCAAAGCGTCGAGCGAGGAGGAGGAGGAGGAAAAAATTTACTCATGTAGAAGCTCTTGAAGACAGTTAGGGGACTTGAAGATCTCAGGGACCTCGCTGTCCAGTTTGCAGATGACCTTGTAGATGGCCTTCTTCCAGGACGGGTCCACATCTTTGCCAGCCACTATAGCATTGAAGAACTCCCTCAGTGTAATCTCAGCCACCTCAAGGAAGCGATCGGGGACCTGCAGAGACACAGAAGCAAAAAGCCGTCATTCATCTACGGATATCAACTTATACTTGAAAACACAAACTAAGAATTACAAAAAAAAAAAGCCCTCCAAGATTTTTAGAGGAATATTGATCCAGAACTGAACGTGGCCCAGATAACTTAAACAGGTGTATTGATACTGCTATGCTTTGCATAGAATGTTGTTGGTGATTATTTTGTTATTGCAATTATTGTGTTTTTACACCCGCTTTTAAAATCCCATCCATCGTACATCATCCCAGTAAAACCTCACCTACTCATGTGAGACTGACAAGAAACAAATATGGAAGAACATGTGGAAAAACAACAAACTGCCCTAGCACAAAGATGGTTTGTGACAGTTCAATGTTTTTTTTTTGTTTTTTTTTAAACATTCCCCCCAAAATAGAAGAATAAAAATACAGGAAAGTTATTTAATAACTACAACATACCGGAAGTTTGTACTGTATTGACCCGATTATGATGGTCCTGATTTTGAGATGAACCCCTCTAATCAAGAATAATTTTACAAAAACCAAACCTTGTTTTTAAGACAACAATTTCAAGTGAGCACAATAAAACAAACAGATTCAATATCTTGGGAAGTAAATAATCACTGTTAGGCAAATTTGCAATGATGTGTTTTAAATAAAGCTCTAATGGTACCAGCACTTTAATACCTTACCGAGCCCTTATTGAATACCTTAAGTAAGCTGCAGCCCATTATAAACGACAAGTCTGCTGGTGGGCATACCTTTCATCTGTTTTCAGTAAAATACACACACACACACACACAATTTTAAAGAAATCTCTTTGGATTTGCTTTCTCAAGCACCCTTTTTAAATATCTCTTTTGCATCAATAACAATTTTCTCTCTTAAAAATCATAGTAACTTGTCTAACTTTAGTACAACTTTGTTTATCTTCTACCTTCTAGCACATAGTGCTGAGTGACTGCTGGCATCTAACATGAGGGGTACACTCAGATAATTGGTACACTTCCTGTATAACCTCAAGATAAAAGATAATCCCACCTTTTAAAGGTGTCTTTAAAGAAAAGATCCTTGTCTTTTGTTTGGGTCAGTATGGTATAGGGATGGGCGATATGGGCTAAAAATTTATGATGATAAGTTTTGCCATTCTGGCGATTACGTTAAAAGTCCCGATAAAAAACATTGGAATTTAAATCCATGTTTTTGACTCATTCTCTCTTGAGAATCCCATAAACATTATTCTTGGATGGAATACACCAGTTGGCATTGTCAAATAAGATACTTAACAATCAGCTTATGTGGTAGGTTATGGAGAAAACTAATGACATCAAACAAGTCTGAAATGTGAAAACACTTTAAACATTTATTCAAAACTCTTATTGCACAAAGTGAACAGCAGATCCACTCTCCGATTTCAGGCATACCTGATTGCACTTATTAGCCCCAATCTTCATGACTGTTGGCCATGTTTGTTTGTTATTCTGCTCTGTGTCAGCTACGACAGTGAGTCCTTCATTCACGCTTACATCATTGACTTGTATGTATCGTATTTATCGTGAGATGGCAAATAATTATCTTGGAGGATTTTTCTGATGATAATATTCTTGCTAATTCTTGCTGTTTGAAAATATGAACAAAATACTATGACACAGATGTGGGAATGGTCCAGGGTTAACTCAAAAATTAGAAGTATTTGTTTTCAGACGCAAAAGGCTCCTATCATACCTCACCACGAGCGCCTCTCCCTGTAGCTTCAACATTTCACTCTCTCCTGCCTTCATAGCCATGTTTCATATTTTCACAGTGGATGTAAAACCATACATTTCCTGTGTCTTAAGTATCTACTTCCTTAAAAAGCTGTCAGTCTACGAGAAGTCAGTTCTTCTGAATTCTCAGGTTTCTCACACCTCCCACTTCCCCTCCTCACAACACGGCGAGCTTGACATCTTTATGAGTCCCACTGTAAATCTGTGACCAAACAAGAGAGTGGCTGAGTGAAGAGCATCAGAGAGGTGCTGGCGAAAGAGGAAGTACTAAATGCTTTGGGAACGAGGAAACACGCCGCCTCTTTAGTGTCCCTGACAGCAGCGCTCACCGACACCATGGAGATGATTAGTCTGGCAAAGATCTGTGACACCTTCCCCCAAGCCAACACTCTGTCACACACATCCACACACACACACACACACTCATGCAAGCGTGAGTACACACACCAGTGCGCACACCTCCTTGTGCCAAGGAGATGACACATCCTGTACTGTTACAGAGCTCAACATAATGCTACACACACACACACACTCACACACACACATTAGGTACCCGGGTGTATTTGGCTGAGTCTCTTTCCTCGACTCAAAGCTCCGGGGCGACGCAGCCTTCAGGGGTCACCTGCTTGGATAATGCTGACTGTCTCCCGGCCCTCCTCCCTTGATGCTCGCACACACACACACACAAACACACACACTCTTTCTCCCTCGCACACACACACACACGTACATACAGCAGCAGTAGCTTGCCCAAATGCCTGACAGTGCGCACTCCGTTTCTCTCCTCTCCTCCAGTGTCCTGCAGATACTCATCAGGAGTGTCAGGACACAGCAAGGTTAGTGGCCAATGGAACACACACACACACACACATAGACGGACATGTACACACACACACACACAGACATGCTTCTTCACATACACACACACGCACTCATGCACACATGGGACAGCCAGCCACCCCCCTCAGGGTGATGAATGGAGGCTAAGATGCCCATGTGTGTGGTGTGTGTGCATATCTGTGGCCACTGCTGCACTGAAAAGGTGAGACATAAATAAGGAGCCAGTGCACTGTGTGTGTGTGAGAGAGAGGGACAGAGAGAGAGAGAGAGAGAAAATTTGTGCTTGGAAAAGAGGAGAAGAAAACACACAAGCTAACCCAATTCCCCGAATATTAAATTCCCCTCTGAAATGGGTGTAATTCATTGTTTGGGTTGCTGTCAACTCTGAAATACTGGCACAATGACCCCGCCAAGAGGGCAACTCTGTGTGTCTGTGAGGTATATGTGCGACTTTTTCCCAGAAGACCTAGCTGACCGACCGGTTTGCGGCGCAGCACCCTGGCTGTTAGACGCAGAGAGTGCCGCATTACTAAGAATATTCCTGCATGGAATTTCTCCTGACGTTTTGACTATAAAAGGACAGCAAAATGCTGACTGCAAGGAGAAAGCAATGTCAAGGAGAAAAGGGTATTGGTATTTCAGATCCTCTTGACTGAGCGAGTGAGGCAGAGTGAGAAAGGGAGGGAGAGAGAGAGAGAGAGAGAGAGAGAGAGACGACAGGAGAAGGAGGGGGCTGAAAGGAGTCTAAGGAGAGGGAGTGGAGCGACAGCACACACAGAGAGTTATTCCTGTCCCACTAGCCTTTGTTTTGTGAGTCTTCTTGTGAGTAAGTGGTGAGCCTCAACTGTTTGCAACTCCTCCCTTCTTCCACTCCATCCCCCTCCTCCTCCTCCTCACTCCCCCTCTCTTCATATCCCTCCCTCCCTCTCTCTCTCTAGGGTCAGCTGTTGGGCCTTTGTTCCAGAGGTATTGTGGGGGATTATCCAGTGTGGTCGTTCATTCGCTCGGCTGTCCGGTAAATGGGGCCAATCGCGTGGCTCACAATCCTTCATACATATTTCATAGGGCTTTTTAACAACTTCTCAGCAGAGCCCCAAAATTAAAAGACAGATGTACAAAGGAGAGAAGAGAGAGATGGAGAGAGGAAAGGACACATAGAGTGAAGGATAGAGGAGTAAGTGTGTGAGGAATGGTGGGTAGAAAAGGCAAACAGGCAGCACAACAACGCTTTCAACCGTCTTTCACGATTGTCACTAATTTTTAACATCAACGTACAACCCTTATACCCTGAATATTTACACCCTCATCATGCCTTGTAGCATCAAAGCTAACAGGACAAACAGTGCTGTGTGTGTGTGTGTGGCACCCTGCCGTTAAACATCAATATTACTCCGTTTTTTGGGTGCAGTGTGTAATTACGTAGATATAGTGACGACTGTTGTGGATTTGTGATATTGAAGTGGTTCTAGACAGTCACACAGTGGGAAACATGGATTACCCCGTCAACAACCGCAATTTAACTTTTGTTCTACCTCAGATAAAAAAGAAAATAACTAATGAATAATACATAATGTTGTAACTTATAAGTTCTGGGCTGAATAGAAGAGAAGTCTGACATTTTCAGATTCCATCGTGAAGGATGATCAACCCTAAAATGACTGTAACACCCAGCAAGAAGTTATTTTCCTCATAAAAAAGTGACAAAAAATTTAGTTGCAATGAAAGAGCACTCATGCACTTAATGCTGATGAAATCACAGCTTAATAATCTAAAAAGAAAGTGTTTTTGTGCCACAAGGCGGGAGGACAGAAAGAATAAACAAAAACGTTCATGAAAAGGGATATCATTGTTGCCGCTGTGTAACCCAATATGATCGGCATAGACAGAAAAAAATTGCAAAGACAAATAAATGCTCACTTTCCTAACCTTTGTATTGTCTCCATCGATAAAAAAGAAAGACAAAAATAAGAGAACGAAAGAGAAAGCGGGTCATCTCTTTCTTTACAAGAGGCAGTAATGAGGCAGTTGATCACTCTCATTCACCGTCTCCCCCTTCTCCCCCACAACTCTCTACTCCATTCTCTCCACCTCTCTCCATCTCCCTCTCTCGTGACAGGTTGCTTTGAGACAGAAGGATAAGCTCTTTTTCAGAGAGCGGGAATCGGATTTCCTGCTTTTTGATGAGATAATAAAATATGACGGGGGACAATAGGAGCCTGTGGACGGCTTGCTGGGAGCTATTCACTCCAGCCGCAGCAGCCTGCTGTCTTAAGACTGCTTAGACAAACGTTTAAAAAGGTAGCCAGAGGCCCAAACCCTTGAATAAGGGCTACTGTTAGAAACACACACAGAGGGTGCAAGTGTGTGTCTTTGCGTGTGTTTCGGTCAAAGCCTGAGAAATCTCTTCTCTCTCGGTGACTCAGGGTTGGCTGTTTGTTTGGCCAACATGTCTCCCCCCCCTTTGCTTTTGGGAACTGTCAGGAGATGTATTGCACCTTCTATTTGCACAGTGTTGGCCAAACAAGACAAGACCCTGGAAGATAAAGGCTGTGTGTGTAAGTCAGTGTGTGCGCAAGCGAGTTGCAGCCTTGAAGGATGAAATGCAGGGACACAACATAAGCCCCCACAGCCGGCCAGGTTAATTCCTAACCCCAGCTCGGCCTGGGAATACCAACACTTCCCATGCTTTGTGGCCATTGTACATGTTTGTTAATCCATTTGGGATGTTTGTCATTTGTCAATTGTCTGATTTTCCTGCTGCTGCTGCCGCTGCCAAAAAAAATAATGCAAAGCTAAAGAATCTTGTTGAATCTCCTACATTTTCATTCCTGCTGACACTGACCAGATTTGGACACACTTGTGACATCTCAGTGAGTCAAACCAGAGTTTCCCGAACCTCGAACACGCACTCACACATGGCCCCCGTGCCTCACATATCTACTGTGATCAATAATCTACAAAGGCCTTGATAAGCCCTTGGACCACACTGTCACTTTAGACAAACACAACCCATGTCCCCCTTTCTTCATACCCCTTGCTGCACTTGTCCCTAACCCCCCTCTTCTCCCGCTGATAAGACAGTGCCACTGCTCCGAAAAGTCAAACCAACACAAAGGGGAAAGAAAGAGACGAGCCACAGTGAATCCTTTTCGTGATCATTTTCTTCCTGATACATTTTTTTAAAACTCTTCCTCTTTTCCCGAATCCGATCAAATCTTTTATCCCTGACACGGGTTTCATTTCATTTTCGCTCTTGCTTGAGTGCCTTCTGGAACGGGAAACAGGCCTCAAGCTGAGCAAACACCAGCCACCCTCACTCCGCTGATAGCCTTGAGAACATTGAGCCTTGAAGGGCTGGTGTATATCCACGTACATTTCGGTGCGTGTGTGTGCACGTCCGTCTTGCTGTCCAGATTGTGCATGAACGTATTTGAGCACAAACGCTAGCGTCACATGGACTCTTCTCAAGGTGCACCTCCGCCAGGGAGTCAAGGACGGGACAGGGTCAAAGACGCTGATGAAGTCGCTCTCCTATCCTATCTTCCTTGTTTCTCCCTACACCTTTACTCGCCTCAACCCCCCACTCCTACACACATTCTCCCACATACACACACAACTACACACACAGGCTAATTCATATCATATCAGGGCCTCTTTGACATGTCTTTCCTCCCCTCTTGCGATACCTTAGCTCCGAAGATGTTGGAGGTCGCAGCAGCCGTTTACAGCTTTATCAAGCGAACAACAGACACAGGCAAAAGGAGACTTACTCAGAGGAATTACTAACAGAAAATCACCGTTCAAGCCCTTGTTTAAGGACAGAGAAAATCAGTGAGTGAGCGTGGAGGACGGGAGGCTGAGAGCAAAAGAGATGCAAACCAAAGGGGGGTCATGGAGCACTGTAACAGGGCCTCTAGAGGTCAGGAAGTCAACCCAGCTCTGAGAGCCCAAGAGAGCAGGAGGCAGAAGGGAAAGAAAGGAGCGAGGGAGTCTGGAAGATAGGAACAGGACATCTGGAGAGGAGGAGAGCAGAGGGAGGGAGGGAGAGGAAGAATAGAAGGGTAAGAGGGGAAGGAGGGTGTGGGTGGGCGGGGGAACAATAAAGGAGAGGGGAGGAAGGAGCCGAAGAGCAAAGGAGGGAGGATGGAAGATGGATAGATAGAGGGAGGAAGGAGGAAGGGAAGGAGAGGACAAGATGGCAGGAGAAGAAAGAAAAATAATAAAGTGCAGATTGGATTGAAAGAAGAACAGTTTGCCACCGGAGAGGAAAAAGGGAAGTGTGTGTGTGTTTGTGTGTGTGTGTGTGTGTGTGTGTTTGTGTGTGTGTGTGTGTGGGAAGGGGGGGTTGCTTTGACACATCTGCAGCTCTGATGCACGCCCTGGTCATTTTGGCATGAGTCCCTTTGCCACGCTTCATTAGTCTCACTCACACACACACACGCACACACACACACACATATGAAGGGAGACCAAAATGGTCCAGAAATAATGACATAATCTGCAGCTGTGCCACAGAGCAGGCTGCCCCTCACAAGGTGACCAGGGACAGAAGGAGGGAGGAGAGGGGAGAAGACGAGGAGGGAGGAGGAAGAGGGGAGGGGAGGGAGGGGGTCGAGTCTTGGACTGGCGCTGTGAGAGGATGTGTTTGTGTGTGTGAGCAGGTGAGAAAAAGAGAGGGGGGATCATGTAGTTCTTTATGTTTAAGTGATTCCTTACCACCCCTGGTGCCCCCAGGCTCTACACACACACACACACACACACACACACGCACGCACACTCACACATACACATACACCGCTCTGGTCATTTAATCAGTGTGCAGAATAAAGTGGCGTATTCCCCCGTACACACACACACACACACACACACACACACTTTTGGTTAAAGAAAAGACCTGTCAGGCTACGTCAAACTGGGGCCTCAACAGCTCGCGGCTATTCACTGAGAGGCAGATGATCCTGCTCAGTCCTCTTGCCTTAACTCTTATTACTGTGATATAAAAAAATGAGTGAAAATCAGAAAAAAACACTCGTGGTAAAGTTTAAGAAAATTATCTTTAGATTTTAGTGACTCTTTGTTGTCAGGAGAGTAGTGACAATGAAAACTGTTCAGTCCTAGTGAGCACTTTTCCGCTGACATAACAATTACAAGCATATAAC